AGAGAGAGAGAGAGAGAGAGAGAGAGAGAGAGAGAGAGAGAGAGAGAGAGAGAAACTAAATTCTTCTGTGACCAAAAAAGATATTCATCATCAACCCATTAAGTTCATTTGCTGAACAGTTCTAAAATGTTCTGATACCTTAAAAGATTTTAAGGTATCTTTTATTATTTTGAAACTTCAGCACTAATCAGATTTTTTGTCTATTTGTATGTATAAAACTCCAATGTTATTTAAACATTCTCCAACAGTACGAGGGCTCAGTGGTGAAGGTACTTGGCACCAAGTTTTTCTTATCATGTCTCTATACCTATAATCTGAACTTGAGTAAAGGGCAAAACTGCATCTCTTTTATTAGAAGTCTGACTTGTGATCTAAATTATGTAACAAAACCCCAGACCAAAGCAAGATCTTATTAGATATGAGGAGGAGAGAAGAACAGGATTGCAAGGTTAGGAGAGGATGAGGAAAGCATGTAAGAGTGACTGGAAACATGCTGGATGGCAGCCAGCTCGGTAGTAAAGGTGCTTTCTGTGCAGGCATGAGACCTGAATCTGGATCCCAGAAACCCCAGGTGGGCATGATGCCCTGCTTGTGATTCCAGCCTTGAAAACCCAAGATGGGATCTCCAGAGAAAGATGTCTAGGAAGACTAGCCATATTGACAAGCTCTAGATTTGATTGATTAGTTCTTGCCTCTGTGTGGAAGGTAGAAAGAGCAATTAGGCATGATTCTTGACCTCAGTCTCAGGCCTCAATGTGGATATATGTCTACACATGCATGCCTGCCCCCACACATGCAAAAATAACCATGCACATGTGTACCACATACACACACACACAAATGGGGAAAGCACAAAAATAACTAGCATCTATTGCCTCACCCTGAATCTTAAGCTACTTTATTTTACATAATTGAAGTAATCCAGAATCTATACCCACAAATGCAGTCAATGATACCTTTAGTCAGATTACAGATGAATGGATGATTTGGAGTAAAGGATAAACCCATGAAACCACAAGAATGACTCCGAGGAGAATATTTGTATAGTCTAACGACAAGATTTTATACAAATCCAACATCAATGCTAGACTTACAAAGTGAAATGACTGCTAATTATGACTTTATGAACATGACAAATTTCTGATCAGGACACAGAGAAGCGGGGTGGGGAGGAGAGAGAGAGATGCTTTGCTCATCCTAATCCGTCTCCCACCTTCCATCCTGCTCCATCCTTCTTACTGTGTACCTAGACCAACTCAAAAAGTTGCTTCCTGTCAGTGAGCTTAGCTGTAGAGGAGGAAAATTTGACAGACCATCTCAGGTCTGCCTTTGCTTTGTTAGCCTACAATATGGTATTTGCAAAGGTAAAGGGTGTGTGCTTTGCTTTTCGGTAACTCATTCTTTCAGCAGTTACTTGTTATGATCACGTTCAACTCCCTGTTAACCTCAGGGATAAAAACATATGTCACCTGACTGAGAAACTCAAGGATGAGGGAAAAGTGACACCAGCGTGGAGCCCATTGCTGGAAAAACTGGAGAATAGTTATCTATGTGAAGGAGAAGCATCGTTACCTTCTTATTGGTTACATCGTGGTATGGACAGAACCCAGAGCCACATACATACTAAGCACATACTTTAACATGATCTATACCCTCAGCCTCCCTGAGTGGCTCTTAAACTGTTAGAGGACTCTAGTAATTTTTCTGTTGCTGATAAAACACTATTATCCAAAGCATCGTAGGACTTATTTTGACTACACAGCTCAACACTGAAAGAAGTCAGGGCAGGAACTCAATAGAAATCATGGAGGAAAGCTGCTTGCTGGCTTGTTCTCAGGCTCACAGTCAGCTATCTGTTTTATACCTGTCCGTGAAATAGTATCACCCTGCAGCCTGGGTCATCCTACATCCACTAACAATCAACACAGTCCCCCCCACACACACACTTCTACAGGCCAATCTGATCTGGGCAATTCTTCAAGAGAGGTGACGCTAACCTGTCTCTAGCTGAGAGTTTAAAGCTAACTAGAACAGGTGGGTTGTACTTTCTCCAGTCATTTTTAGCTACACAATAATCATTTATTTATATGTGAGCAATTTCATGTCTTTAGGTTTTATTTAGAAACTACACCTTAAATACGGTTTGCCTTTATTTTATTATATTTCATTCTACTTATGTAGTAGTTTTGCCTGCACATGCACACCTGTGTCTGAGGAGGTTAGAAGAGGGAGTCAGATCCCCAGGAACATGAGTTGCAGATGGTTGTTAGCCACTATGTAGATACTGGACATTGAACCGAGGTTCTCTAGAAGAAAAATCTATGGTTTTAACTGCTGAGCCATTTCTCCATCTCCCAAGTTTGCCTCTGAGTACACTGAGAGTAATCAAACAAATCTCTATAATGGATTATAATGAAGCGATCCACTAATCTCTCTATGCAATCATTATTGACCGTTGTTCATGTTTTCCTGCTGCCTTCTCTTACTAGGAAGAATTAGTCCTGTCCTCTAAATACTCACAGTGATTAGTTCTCTCTAGTCCTTAACCATGATACACATGACCAGTCTCTATGACTATCCAGTAGCTGCTACTTGCCGTTAGGGACCACAGAGTGTGACCTCCTCTCTTGCCTCTATTCCTGCTCTTCCTTTTAGGAAGCCCACACATGCTCTTGTGTATTGTTTTTTATCTCATTTCTCAAAGCAGTAATTATTCTTTTCCAATCGTTGAACTGAAATGAATGTATTTTATCCCATTCTGAAGTCCATCCATACACTGGCACAGGTGGGATTCTGATTTTAACATTGGAGACACTACTGGGGAGTAGTGAGTCACTAAATGTTTCCTTTTTTTTAAAGATGAAGCATGACATTGGACTTTTTAAGAGAATAGTCCAATATGGACTGGATAGTACAAGATCTTAGAACGTTTTACAATGGGACTATTGTTGGGTAGGAAAATGACCTTGTCTTTTTGGAGACTCATATTCAGATATCAGTGGGTGATGTCATGGTGTCTGAGATTTGCTTTAAAATGCATTTGTAGCAGGGCTGGGTGGGAAGGTTCAATGGTTAACAGCCCATTCAGATCTTAGAGAATACCTGAGTTCGGTTCTCAGCACCCACATTCAGCAGGCACAATTGCCTGTAACTCCAGCTCCAGGGGATCCAACACCCTCTCCAGAATCTTAGGGCATTGCATTTATACATGCAGTATCTACATATGAGTGTTTATATGCACACACACACACACACACACACACATGCACACGCACACACACACACACAATTAAAAAATAAATCTTTAAAAAATGCTTTGGACCAAGGCATGGCAGCTCATGCCTTTAGTCCCAGCACTTGGAAAGCAGAGGCAAGTGGATCTCTGAGTTTGAGGCCTACAAAGCGAGTTCCAGGAGCTACACAGAGAAACCCTGTCTCAGAAAAAAAAAATGCTTCTAGGAGTTGATGTGGTTGTATTTTAATCCACTCTAAACTCCCTGGTGGGTGCGTACATTCCTTGCTACCCACCCCAATGTTCTGGATTCCCAAAAGAAAGACACACATACATAGCTTTATATTTTAAATACCTTAAACAGCTCACTCAGTGGCTGGGCCACTCCCTAGCTCCAAGTGGCTAACACACACTGCCCACTGATGTTCCTGAATTCATACTTACTAAATCTATGTTTTATCTTTGCTACCCTGGACTCTGCTGGGCAGCCCTCCTGGGGCTGCCTTCCCCCTGTGCCTACATTTCGGCTAGCTCTCCCTCCAGCACCTTTCCAGCATGGGCCATCCTCATCATGGCATGGAAGAATCCCCTCTTCCTTCCCCCTCTGTCCCTTCCCAGGAATCCTAAAAGTCCCGCCTCTGTCTCTCTGCCTAGCCATTGGCCACTGATAACTTTTATTGACCAGTTGAAAACCAACTGGGGACAGGCTTCCTTTAGTCCTACATGTGGGACACTGCAAACAGGTGTTTGGGTAACATAATTAGCATGAGAACACAAGCCTCTACCGGTAGCTTGGAAATATGGCAAAATATTTATAATTATTAAATCAAGATATAGTTTCATTATGATTGATAAACCTAGACATATGTTTATTATGTTTACTCTATTATTGACTTTTTAAGAACAATGGTTGAGGAGGCACAGACACCACTGATAGCTCTTGTAAGGTCATACTTTCCCAGGTCACCTCATCGTAAGGCTGTCACCTCACTTTGGCCATTCTGCACTGGAACACCATGTTGTCAACAAAGCCCTTTAGACCCATCTCATAATATAGCAACACATTCTTTATCTCTTGTTGCTTTTAAAACAAAATCCCGAACGATCAATTTTACCAAATGAAGACTCAGGAGCCAGACACTGTGGCAAAAGCATGCTAACTCAGAGAGGCAGAGAAAAAGCACCCAGCTGACCTTCCTGCTCCACTGACATCCCAGAAGGGGAAAACACACACACACACACACACACACACACATACAAAAAAAAACAGTTCTTCTCCACACTGTCTTATAAACTGTTCCTAACTGAATGTCCCTCCTATCTACTTCCTATGCATCTCTCTATCTGTCCTCCTGACTTCTTCTTACTCTCTATGGTTTTTCCTATGTTCACTCCCTGTCACCTGGTGCCTGCTCCACCTCTTGACCTATGGTTGACTTTATTCAATCCTGTTTACAAAACAGAAAGCTCCACCACACCACAACCAGAAACAGATTTTTCCAGTACACAACCTCCGGGTTCAAGGAGTGATCAAATATCCTGCAGCAATCCCTCTCCCTACTTCCTGAATTCCCAGAATCATTGAGGTGGGGCGGGTACATCTATATGTGCATGCATATGTGTGAGCATGCATATATAACCACATGTGTACATGTATGTGGAAATGCATACATAGGCATCTATTTGCATATGTGTGCAGAAACTATGTCTTTGTTCTCTCCTTACTGGAATAGAAGGTGTGTAAGGCAGGAATTGGGTTTTGTTTTGTTTGTTTTGTTTTGTTTTGTTTTGTTTTGTTTTTGGCAGTCAGAATAGTGGTAGGGTCTAATAAATACACATTTGAATTTAAAAACAAAAGGAGATGTAGAAAAAAAAGTCCAAACTTTGTAGAAAAAAAAGTCCAAAATTCTTGTTGCTGGGGCCAGGCAGATATCGACAGCCATGTCTGGGAGTGAGTGAAGGCAGTGGTCAGACCTGGACAGTTGAGTGACAGATTTGATGGAGAAGCCCTGCTAGTCCAGAGATAGATATGGACCAAAAGATGTCATCTGTTGTCTTCCCTCCTTCCCACAGTCCAAAGTGCTTCGGGAAAAATGGCTGCTGCAGGGTGTACCGGCGGGAACAGCAGAGGAGGAGGAAGCCAGGCGCCGGCAGTCTGAGGAGGATGAATTCAAAGTCAAGCAACTTGAAGATAACATTCAGAGGTAGGTGGTTCCCAGCCTGCAGTAACCACTGCTCTCCTGGAGGGGCCCTTTCACCATACTGCGACTTTTCCCTGAGGCTGTAGACTGCCTTCCTAAATAGATATTGGTATTGTCTAGCTTTTCTGTTTGAATCAGTGTTATTCCTCAGAGTATAGAACAGAGATGTCTTCCACCCACCAATGAGGTATTTGTTATAAGCAATCTGCCCTTCCCCAAATGCTCTCCTGTAAGTTCTTCCGTCAGCTTTTATCTTTTTCTTCTTCGTGGGTCTAGCTGTTGATTGTTGTGGCCACTGTTAAGGGTTTCTGCATAGATTTGCCATGTGTGATCAATTGAGAAGGGAGGATTATAGTCAAGGCTCTTGGAACTGAGATGAAGAGTGCATAGAGAAGCTCTGAGTTCTGTAGATCAACTTTTCATGGCCTCCTTGTCCTGCTCAGTGAGCACATTGCTTCTCTGACTGCCCTTAACCAGGTTCTGACCGCTTCAAATATAGAAGAGAGGTGACCTGCCTATGGCCAGGAAACTGGTCAGGTCCATCCATAAGCAAAAATAGAGATTTCTCCTTGGCAACTCTAGCTGTCCCAGGACTCAGGACATAGACAAAGCAGGAGCTGAGGGTGGAAGGTGGTGTGTGTACAGACCTTAGAACAGAGTTTCTACGATCAACCTGCTCCATCAACTTCTGCCCAATTGCTTTTTCTCTGTCTTCACTCTTCTTGACAAGTTCACTAGCCAATTACTGGCCCTCCATCTCCTCCTGAGGCTGAAGCAAACACTTGGCAAGTGCATCAGGAAGCACGAGAAACTCCAGTTCACGGCCAGTTTAGAACATATATCATATCCTATCTCCAACTAACTAACCAAGTAACTAAGTGTGTGTCAGGGGTTGCTAGAGCAGTGGTTCTCAACCTGTGGGTCGCAACCCCTTTAGGTGTCAAATGACCTTTTCACAGGGGTTATATATTAGATAACATGCATATCAGATTTTACACTATGATTCATAACAGTAGCAAAATTGAAGTTATGAAGTAACAACAAAAATAATTTTATGGTTGAGGGTCATTATAACATGAAGATCTATATTAAAAGTTCATAGTATTAGGAAGGTTGAGAATTGCTGATCTAGAGGAACAGAACTGATCGAGTGAATTTATATTCAATGGAGACTTATTAGATTGGATTACATGATAAGATAGACCAACAATGGCTAATTCCCATGGGAAATACCAAGGATCTGGTCTACAGTCTCAATCTGGTGCTGTAGGCCTGAAGGATTCTGGGAGAAATGCTGGTCTTCAGATTACATTTGCAAGCCCAGAGAAGCTGGTGCTACTATCAGTTAAGGAACTCAACAGTAGCAGCAACAGGCTAGATGAACTTGTCAGCAAGAGTGAAGACAGACAAAAGGCAAAGCATTCCTTCTTCCATGCCCTTTGATCTGGGCTGCCACCAGCTTAGGACTGCAGAGATTTAGTGTGGATCTTCCCACTTCAAGTACCTTGGTCAGGAAAAATCCCTCACAGGAGTGGCCAGCCACTTGACTTTTAAGGGATTCCATATCCAGTCAAGTTGCCAGACACTGTTAGCCATCACACAGATGAAGCAGAGTACACCAGCTGAACTGCTGCTTGATGTTCACTCACACTCACAGCTAGTGAAGGCTGGAGGCAGTCTCAGAGAGGCCAGCTGTGTCACAAGCTGATTGCAAATTCCAAGGCATGCTTCAGCCTGTGCTCCTGGTTTGCCCAGGCCCTAATGTCTCTACAGATCATTCAGAAAGCTTAGCTAACTGTTGCTTGTGGGAGAGATGCTCAAGAAAACGTTTGGGGGTGATGTATGTATGTGTTTGCATATGGACACATACATATACGCACGTGCACATATTCATGGATATGTACACTTTATGGAGCCCAAAAGGTAAAAGCTAAATGGTCACCATTTATACAAGGGAAAGTGTGGTAGTACAGAAAGGAGTAAATTCTATGACATTTTCTGCTTTTCTTGTGGGCTTAAGCAGAGATTGTTTTTATGGTCCAGGAGTTGGTAAAGTACTGGCAGGCTGTGATGGGGCCCTGGAGTCTCATCTTAAATGAGCTCAGTTTGGGCAAAGTCAACCACTAGGGTGTATAAATGCTATTTTTAATATAATTGTAAATTAATATGGTGGCTGTATATCTTTATCCTAGGTAGTCCCTCAATAACAACAGAGAGAGACCAAGATTTGTTTTCAAGCTTCACTTCAATATCTGGGCAGTCAATCTTATCCCCTAAACTAATCTGACTACCTCCCAGCCAAAATCCCAATAATATTTGCATTGAAGGCCTCCCATGCTTCATCTGAGTTCTCATGTGGCTCAGACTCCTCTCTCTCTCTCTCTCTCTCTCTCTCTCTCTCTCTCTCTCTTTCTCTCCCTCCCTCCCTCCCTCCCTCCCTCCCTCCCTCCCTCCCCCCCCCTCTCTCCCCTCTCCCTGACAAGTGGAAGTTGCACCCTTTTTCTCTCTTCTGCCCAGTCATTGGGTGATCAGCTTTTATTGACAAGGCTAAGAATAAATGGTAAGAATTGTTTACACAAACTTGAGACCGAGATTCTTGACATAAGCATTACAGTGCCAGGTCTGGATTAAAACACTGAAGGCAGAGAAATCAGCAACTGAATAACACAAGGATAACCTTTACAAGGGGCACATAATCATTATGCCTACAGGAGTGTGCTGTAAGAGTTGGGAGTTCAGATGGGCATGGTCAGCCACAGAAAATAGATCTTTCCACCTCTGAATCAAGAGAATGAAGAGCTCGTGTATACGTGTGCAGGAACTTCTTGGAGCCCTTTGAAGAGGGTGATGGCCAAGACAGAGGAAAAGAACCATGGTGGGCTGTAGGAGTGAGTGGCTAGGCTCTGGGTCAAGGGATTCTTTGCTTGCTCCTGTCATGATCTTGTCAGGCATGGGCCTCATGGGCCTTGGTTGTGTACCAGGGCAAGCTGCCCTCTAAGGGCTACTCTGTATGAGCAAGGCTGTTGTGGGTACCTTCTCCTCCTCCAGGCCTCCTGACTGAGGACATCTTTCCTGTTCTAGAATCTGATTTCTGTCTCCCTTCCTCTTGCCATCTCTCCCCTGTAGACTGAGCCACCCTTGTGCAACATGCTTAGGATCAGAGATGTTTACATTTGGAACTTTACATTTTTTTTATTTCAGAATCTTTGCCGATATACAATGAGATACCTTGGGAACAGAATCACAAAATGTGTTTGTTTCATACACAGACCTTATACATACCCTGTAGGTAGCTTTGTACAGTATTTTTAAATAATTTTTCAGTTGGAGCAAACTTTGTACATTGGCCCATTGGAGGAAAGGAGAGGTCTGCCTGTCAGCGATCATGAAGATCCAGATGTGAAAACATTTCCGGTGTTAACCCTTCAGATTAGGCATGCTCCTCCTCTAAAGGCTTTTGTGTCTTTACATTCCAACCCCAAGGGAAGAAAGGGGCTGCCATCTCTCATGTAAGGAACACCCGTTCTCCTGAGACACTTTCCTGTGATTGGGTGCAGTTCAGTTCTGTCTCACAAGACGCTGGATCTTGGAACAGCTGTTGGGCTCATGGTTCACATAAGCTCACTGCAGTGTGACAAAGTCTAAAGATTGGCCGCAGGACTCTGCTCGCTTTGGCTGAGCTCAGCTAAATGGCTCTAAGCCGTAGGTGGGATGCATCTGCTTTTATTTCCTGTGCACCAACAGGCTAACAGGCTGCTCTTATTGTCTTCTATGGCAACAACAGAGGATCCAGAGAGCGGAGCAAAAACAAGGCCTACACTTAGAGCTGTCCATAAGCTAGCCTCTAAAGCTTGCTGGTAGCCACGCCCAGTCAAGAGTAGAGCTGTCCATAAGCTAGCCTCTAAAGCTTGCTGGTAGCCACGCCCAGTCAAGAGTAGAGCTGTCCATAAGCTAGCCTCTAAAGCATGCTGGTAGCCACGCCCAGTCATGAGAGGACACAGATGACCCACTGTTGATGGAAAAACCACAAATAAGAGAAGCATAAAAGGATGAGGAGTGATTATTGAACTGAAAAAAAGAAAACTGCAGAAAACTAAGAAAGAATTAAAACTCACAATATAATGGGGGCAGAGGCAATGAGGGAAAAGAATAAAGAGAAAAGGAGAGATTCGGGGGTCCTGTCTAGATTTTGATATTTATTGAATAGGAAACCCAGACGTAATGCCACAGTGCCCCCTGAAAAAAGGAATTTATGCAGCAAAACATTACTCTGCAGATCCTTAGCTTTCCACCCACTGGTCTGAGTCACTCCCTAGAAATGCATTAGGTTCTCTTAAAAGGGACACGTGGTTCTGTTTCCCAATGCTAAAGTAAGCCAGGCATGGTGATGTGAGTTTTTTTTGTAGTCTTTGTACCCTGGGAGTGAAAGCAGAAGGATCCAGCAGTTCAAGGTCACCATAGGCCACCAGAGGCCACATGAGATCCACCCTTCACAAAGGCTGGGATATAGCTCAGTTGGTATAGCACTTGTCTGGCATGCACAAGACCCTGGGTTCAGTCCCTAGCACCACGTCTACTGGTTATGGTAATGCACACCTGTACTCTCATTTCTTGGGAGGTGGGAGCAGGAGGGTGATAATCTGGAGGTCATTTTCTGCCACCTAGAGAGTTTGAGGCAGTCTCAAATGTGTGATCTTGTCTCAAAACCAAACCAAGCCAAGCCCCCCCCCCAAAAAAAAGACTTAAGGAAGAATAAAGCATGGTAATCAAAGAGAACATGCAATTTCTACGTGAAAAAAAATGAGGATTAACTTGGGTCGTTTGGTTTAGAGAAAGAAAAGGGGTTATGGCCCCACAGACTCTCAAGTGTGTCTAGCATTCAGGCCGTGTCTTACTTCTTTATGATTGGATCACTCTGAATATGACAAGAGTTTAAATAAAGCATGAAGACTGTGGTTTGGGTTTGACATGACCGCTCTCCTAGAGATCAAGGACGAAATCAT